TTGTCGGTTTTTTTTTTTTTTTAATCCCCCGTGGCGGTTCCGTATAAAAAGAAAACCGTGAAATAATGAGGGGGAGGGCGGCGTCGACCTAGCAAATTTGAAAGTAGCGTCAGAGCCGTAGCAGAGGCGGGCCAGCGACATTGACAATGCGGGGGTAGCGAGTTGGGTGTTAAACCCTCAGCCCGGCGATTTCCCACGTTCATCTGAATGTGGAAATTATTGAGTCCGCCGGCGACAATTTTCCTGTCGCTCTGCCTGGACAAGTATCCAAGTATACCTGCTTGCTGTCTTTGTCGTCCTCCTCCCCCTGGGTGGGCATGGCGACGCAGGGGTGGGGGGGCGGGGGGCTAGCGATGACATCACACGACACCGCGTGGCAGGTGTGGTCCGCCTCCGCTGCTTTGTCCATTGCACGTCTGCAAAAGCAGCCGGCCATCATTTCTGTTCACTCTGCGTGCGCGCGTGCCCATGTGAGCGTGTATGACCACGTGCGTGTGTGCGCATGACTACGTGCATGTGTATGCCGACCTACGCTCAGTGAAGAAGCTGGCAGATGAATGATGAGGTCATATATCCCATGATCCCACAGGGCGGTCACCAGAAACGCAATTATCCTCCTCTTCCTCTTCCTTTGCTTGCTTTAGCGCGGGAGTGGAGGGGGGGGGGGGTTGAAAAAAAATAAAAGGGCTGTAGAAGAGAGGTGGGGGGAAAAAATTGTTATTGGTTGTGCACACACACACACACACACGTACAGTCATATCCAGCAGCTGCTGCGACATAAAAGAATAGCTTGTGGCGATGACATCAAGTCGGCAATCTTAAGCGTGTGTGCGCGCATGTGTGTGTGTGTGTGTGTGTGTGTGTGTGTGTGTGTGTGTGTGTGTGTGTGTGTGTGTGTGTGTGTGTGTCATCCTCCATCCTAGCTTTCCAAAGGCCCTCCTGGCCTGACAGCTAATTGCTACTCAAAGCCTATTACAGTAAGTGTGCATTTGTTGAGTGTGTGTGCGTGCGCGCGCATGTGTGGGTGGCTGTCTACGGGCCCTCCTCTGACATGCGGCATTTGTGTATTTACATATAATGCGTGTGCATGTTCAAACGCGTCCTGGAGCTTTTCTTAGAAGCAGCAGCTGCGCGCAGCATCATCTGATACGCGCAAAATATTCCCAGAATACCGGAGCGGCGGGACTGGTGGCGGCAGGAAGAGTGGTGAGGGCCAAAACACGCACGCACGCACATGCATGTGCCAAAAGGAAATGGCTTCGCATTCCGCTGGAACGCGACGCCCGGGGGGAACGTTTTATCCCGGCAACACCTGAGACGGCGGAATAATGAGCTCCGAGGATGGCAGGTCCCAAAACGGGCTGGCGGGAGATTAAAAAGAAGCAAGAGCAGAACGTGGCGATCACTGGCACCACACTTGCAAGAACAAAACACCTACACTCACACCCACACACTGGGTAGAATTATTTTGCAATGGACACAACATTAGGTACACCCTGGAATGGTCACCAACCAGTCACAGAGCGCATAGAAACAAATGATGAACTGGTCACCAGTCACTGTTAGGGCACATCCAGAACAAGGTTATTATAGGTCATGAAAACAAATGAAATTAATAAAACTAAAATTGATTAAAAAAAATTGAGATAACAAAAACTAAATCTTACATTTATAAAATTATAAGTAAAGAAAAAATGTCCTTTGTTTTCATCTTTTGTCAATTAATATCTTACATGAACTTTTGTATTTCTGTATGTCTATACAGAAGAAGAAAGGTCAAACAGTCAATTAAAACAAAACTAAAACTAACACTAAAGCTCATAAAGACTACATTAAAAAAATGAAGCAGTTTTAAAAAAACAACAAAAACTCACAAATCAGCCAGAATTAAAACGACTGAAAAAAGGTCAAATGAAATAAAAACGAACAGATATGGACACACAATAAACTGGCCGTTTGTCAATGTCAGAGTACATGGAGAGAAACAATTTATTGACTGGTTGTCAAAGACAGCGCCCATAAATACAAAGGAATGGAGTAGTCGCCAGTGGCACATGAAAGCAAACATCTGACTGGTCGCCCGTCAAGATAGGCCAAATGCAGATTGGTCCCCTGTCAATTTTGGAGCAGATTTAGACAAAAAATAATTACTACATTGGTCTCTAGTCAAATTCGGTTCATGTTACGACAAATGATGGACAGATCGGTTGTCAAAATCAGGTTACATGTGTAGTCAAAAAACTGACCAGTCGCCAGACAGTCAATTTTAGGGAACAGACAGACTGGTTGCCAGTCAAAACACAAACGATGAATAGGTCATCAGTTCATCTCAGGGTACATAGACAAACAAATGACTGGTCACCAAATACTCACTGTCAAGTCACATGTAGACAAACAATGGACTGGTCGCCAGCCAATGTGAGGGGAGAACCTTTTACACGCACATACACACTAATGGACATTTTAGAATTGAGTTTTTAACAGACGCGCTAACCATTAGCCTAGCCCGCGGCCATTTTGTTTCATAAATTTACTACAGCCATCCTGGGTCTCTACAAAATGGGCCCCAATCATAAAATGGCTCCCTTGTTTTTAAAGATGTAACTTTGTGCAAACGCATGATGTATAACCTAAGAAGGTTTTTTTTTTTATTTTTAGGAATGTGGACAAAAAAAAAAGACAGAGGTACGACTGGCGGCGGGGGGAGGCGGGAGTGGATTTTAGAGTCCCGTTTTTAGCAGACATGCTAACAATTAGCCTAATGCACTCCCATGTTCTTTCATAAATTTACTATGGCCCTCGGGACTCTACAAAATGGCCCCCCAATCATAAAATGGCTCCCCACCTTTGTTTTAAAGTCAGAACTTTCTGGAAAGGTCTACGCAAAACTCAAGAGAGGGGATTTTAGGAACTTGGAACAAAAAAAAAAAAAAAAAAAGATGGAGTAGTACGCAGAAGACTGCATGCCTCGGGGGGATGGAGGAAGAAAAGGAGAAGGAGGAGGAAGAAGAGGACGGCGGAGGAGGTGTGACACCATCATTAGCACGTGATGGATAGCAGGCGGGAGGCGAGGAGCGTGCGGCGACATCATCATCATCATCATCATCATCATCCATCTGCCGCCTCACTGGCGTCCAGGAGCTACTTAAGGGCGTACTCGCACGAAGACGTTTAACAGTGGTTGGCATGATTTCGATTGGGCAAGGTGGCAATAATTGTGAAGAACTGGCGAGAGGAGCAATGGCACGAATTAAATCAAATGACATTACGAACGTGCATGTGACCAAGCGTGCCATCGAGTCATTTGGGCTATTTTTTCTTGGGATTGATTTCTACTGTGCCAGGTGGTGGTTAATATCCAGCAAGAAATATCCAATTGCTGTGGCCTGTGGATGAGTCTATAGTGCGCTTATTGGTGACTGAATGCATGATGTTTTGTTTTGTTTTTACTTGGACTGGACTATTTCTGCTTGTCATGTTGATTTAAATTGTACAAGGTGGTGGTTACCATTAATGTCTGGCAAGAACATCCAATAAATGATCGGACACACAGCACAGTACATTGCTTGCATGCATGTGAGAGAATGGATTGAGGATTTTTTTTCCTTTTTTTTTTTTTTTTTTTAAAGTGGGGGGGGGCCTGGATTATTTCTTTTATCTCCTGAGGCCAGGGCCGGTTCTTGCTATGGGCAAAGTGGGCGGTCCCCCAGGGCACACGAGCGCCCCGGAAAAAAAAAAAAATCTGAATACCGCCGCTCATTTCCTCGTTAGGTTGATACACTATTTGCGTTAAATACCCCCCCTACACATCAACTTGCTGTTGAGAGAGCAAGGCATCCGGTGTAGGCTGTGTCTGTGTTTCCATTACATTTGTTCACAACCGAAATGCGATATTTTTGAAAATTTGTCAACTGGTGAGAGGTTAAGCAAGGAGGAGGGAGGCAGGCCGGTGGGGGATAGAAGCTGACCGCTGTATAGGATCCCCAGCCCACACAACACAAATTTCTATCTCTGAATAAATTGCAGTTCATAATTAGTTATAAAACAAAACAACACTAATTTTCACCAATGGAGAAACACTCCCAAAAACCCATCAGGTGTTCAATTCAAGAAGAGGAGAAAGAGGGAAGAGGAGGAAAGAGCGAAAGATAAAGGTCTGTGGATATGAATGATGTAAACCTAATTGTGCATCATGTAATGATAAAGTGACCTGTAGCCTATACGCCATTTATTAGCCTGTTGCTAATATGTTGCTACTCTCTACCTAGCCTCAAAAGACCACTGTTTTTTTACTTTTAGTTGTTTGTGTTCTTGCTGCTATTTTTTGTCAGCAACTTTTATAATTTGAGGCTTCGTGTCAAGCTATTAATTTAACCATTAGATGGTTTTGTAACTGAACCTGTGCAGCAAGTTTAAAAAGTCATAGTCTGGGGATTGAGTAAACAGTATTGCATCCTTGTTTAACGTTTGAATGCTAAACATGGCTCTATGCTAATTCAGACAAGCTCTTATACACATCGATATGAAGGTGGATATGTATGTAGGCCTGTATAAATATATACAGGCTGTGTGTGAGAGTATGTATGTGTGTGTGTGTGTGTGTGTGTGTGTCAGCGGGGGATAGAAGCTGACCGCTGTATAGGATCCCAGGCGACACAACACAAATTTCTATCTCCGAATAAATTGCAGTTCATAATTACTCATAAAGCAAAACGACACAAATTTTTACCAATGGAGAAACACTCCCAAAAACCCATGAGGTGTCCAATTCAAGAAGAGGAGAAAGAGGGAAGAGGAGGAAAGAGCGAAAGATAAAGGTCTGTGGATATGAATGATGTAAACCTAATTGTGCATCATGTAATGATAAAGTGACCTGTAGCCTATACGCCATTTATTAGCCTGTTGCTAATATGTTGCTACTCTCTACCTAGCCTCAAAAGACCACTGTTTTTTTACTTTTAGTTGTTTGTGTTCTTGCTGCTATTTTTTGTCAGCAACTTTTATAATTTGAGGCTTCGTGTCAAGCTATTAATTTAACCATTAGATGGTTTTGTAACTGAACCTGTGCAGCAAGTTTAAAAAGTCATAGTCTGGGGATTGAGTAAACAGTATTGCATCCTTGTTTAACGTTTGAATGCTAAACATGGCTCTATGCTAATTCAGACAAGCTCTTATACACATCGATATGAAGGTGGATATGTATGTAGGCCTGTATAAATATATACAGGCTGTGTGTGAGAGTATGTATGTGTGTGTGTGTGTGTGTGTGTGTGTGTGTGTTGTGTGTGTGTGTGTGTGTGTGTGTGTGTGTGTGTGTGTGTGTGTCTCCCAGGGTGCAAAACAAGCCAGACCTCAAAGGCGAATTGAACTATACATAGTTAGGGAGGAGTGGAGGGGGAGAAAATAATGTATCAATATATTTTAGAATATCAAATAAAATGCTGGTGGAGCTAAACTGGGGCTACACAGTTTGTTTGTTTTTTTTTTTTGGGGGGGGGGCAATAGCCCCCTCTAGCCGCAGTGTAGCGCCATCCCCGAGCGCATTCTGAACTGTAAAAAATTTTCACAATTTTTTTTGTGTAGCAAAAAAAAAAAAAATGGCTAAGTCGAACAGTTGCTTTGATTGTCGTTGATCAAATATGCTGCAGAAATGGAAACGTAACGATCTCGAGTAGAGGAATCGCTCGCCAAACACGAGCCCTTTTTTTTTTTTTTTTAATCTCTTTGACAAATGCACATCTTGGGATCGTTTTACTTCTGCGTCAGATGTTGACGTTAAACAGAAAGTAAGTCAAATGTGGGTTACGTTGTTCTGCTGGGTGCACCTGTGCGGCCACAGCATCTTTTGTGGCTGCGACAGCTGCGTCAAAGCCCACCAAAAAGTGAGGTGGTGGGGAAAACCTGCCCGCATGGCACTATCGTCATCGTTCTTTTTGCGTGCGTGCGTGCGTGTGTGTGTGTGTGTGTGTGTGTGTGTGTGTGTGAGAGAGAGAGAGAGAGTTTAAGAGATGTCATTGCAGTGAAGTCCCCCGAGCAAGCCACGTGTGGTGTGAAAGTTCCAAAACAGGTGTCATGTAGAAGATGGAGAAGAAGAAGACGAAGCTCCACACTTGCCGGTGTGTCGCATTACTGTTGACCCGGGACACGCTTGACGACGGCGGGGCTATTTTTACCCGGAGGCGAGGGGGGTTGGGGGGGGGGGGCTAGCGGACCTACTGCTGCCGGGCTTCAGCCGGCTGTCATACAAACTCAAAAATAAATAAAGGGGCTTCATTCATCAAACGAATAGTTGACGAAGGAAATAAGATTGAGTGAAATGTAGCGAATATACAGCGCGGACGGGAAGAAAACGATCAGTTAACAAGCACGTACCACCCGGCTAAATGAGACTTGGATCGCCCCAAAAATCACAAAACAAATCTAACATTTATATTTGAATTATGTCTTGAATCGACAGCGAATATGAGCGATTAGATTTAGAAACGATGATGTTTTTTATTTTTTTTTTCCCGTGTGTGTGTTCGCGTGGTCTCGAGGGGCGGATGAGCTTACCGGGAGGTGAAGGCGAGCTCGGGCCGGGAGTGGAGCTCCTCTCTGCGGAGCTGAAGCTGTCGAGTGAGGCGCCGCGCTGCTCCTCCTCCGCTTTTGCTCCGCTCTCGCCGGGGAGGGGAGGGGCCACGGGGTGTGGGTGTGGGGAAGGTTGGGAGGGGGTTCAGGGTCGGAGCGCTGAGACCCCCCTCCACCCCACCGACTCACCTGGCCCGTTTACCGTCAGTGGACGTCAAACACCGTAACAGCACATCACACGTTAAACGAGCGTCTGCAATATTGACCAGAAATGAGAGATGCATTGACCAAAGAAAGACATGAATCTACAGCTGCAACCCGTTATAGGAGTCAGTCCATGTTGCTTACACTCTATGACTACTTAACTTACCACGTAGCAAGTAGGAGTGGAGTTGTCACTCAACATTTGCACAATAACAAGAGCAACGTAGTTGTAGAACTCAGCATCTGCACAAATCATTCTTGATCACTGCATCAGTGTGCACGCCTGTCACTCACTGTGACACACGAAGAGGAATAAACTTACTTGTGACGATCATCTCTCAGTATACTATTGGAATAATAAGAAGATGCGTAGCGTGACATAAATAGTGCAACACTACGATACATAAATATGCCTAACTATCGTCTCTTTGAGGAGTTAAAAAAAGTAAGAAAAATGCACAGTGTGTAAATAGCATTTGCTCAAATGGTCATCTCTCAGCAGTCATACAATAAGAGAAGTAAAGGATATTACCTGTCGCAATTGGATTATTGTATCTCGGCATTCATACATATGAGAATTATAGTCATACAAATGTTGCGTTAAAAGGGATAGTCATCTCTCAACATTCACAGAATAAGAAATGATGCATCATAGCATCAGTGTTGATGCCTGTCACTCTGCATTAACGCAGTAAGAAAAGAAATATAGGACCATTTACAGTTCATAAAATTAAAAAAATTGTGAAAAATGAAGTCTTTCAGCATGTCAAAAACAATACAATAATTGCGATACGAAAGAAGCATTATTGAATGATCGTGTCTCAGCACTCACATACTATTGGTTTTTAAACGTTCCATTTACTACATTAGCGTTAATGACTGTCTCTCAGCGTTAACACAGCAAGTTGAGAAATACAGTAAATAGCAGAATTTCAACATATTCTGCTTGACTTTTCGTACATTTGTCGATAAAAGTGTTGTGACGGTGCTTAAGATACGAGATCAAAGACTCCAGAGTTATTTCGGGGGGTGGTATGCATACACACACAACACAGCTGTTGTGGTCAGTATGGCAGGCATGCGGCCACAGAGGAGATTCGGGGACTGGTCGCCGGTGCCAACGATTGCCGGTGTGGTCGAGTTACATAAACAGGCGTCATTATACTAGCAAGTGAAGAGCTGAGCCAAGAGTTTGTGCATTTGTGTCACTTTGTCTCACGTCAATTCCCCCACTCAGATCCTCGCTGACCGCTTATGCTACTGAGGAAGCCGAGCTCATTTCCAGTCAATGGCGATGCTAACCAAGCTATCAGCTCGTTAGCATAGCTTGCATTCATCTCATAGGTAATTGTTACAGACGTGCTCCATTCTCGACTTTGTGGGCAATGCTAGGCTAATTAAGATAAGCTAATTGGGTTGCTGTAGAAATGCTACATGTTCTATTGGTTATTGTGGTGATGCTATTTTTATTTTCTATTTATGATAAGATAATGAGATTGCTGTGTCACTACACAATTTGCTATTTTTTGGGGCAATCTCAGGATAATGCATCCAAGCTACTTAGGTTGATACGGAGCTACTGCGTTGAGGAAAAGTCTTGACTCGATTTCGGCTAATTCTACGATAAATAGGATACTGTACTATGTAGATGCTACATGATACAGCCACTACATTTTAGACACTGTTAGGCCAGTTCTCCACTTATACCAAACTCTGCTAATTTGCTTGCAATAAATATTATATATATATATATATATATATATATATATATATATATATATATATCTCCTTCTTTTTTGCCTTTATGAAAAGCTAAGCTAATTTTGCCACTGGTGTTTACTTGATGGCTACATGAACAGAGTATTGTACATGCATCAGTGTAGTGGGCGCGTAAACATAACAAACATATATATATATAAATAATAAATAACGAGTCATCATCCATTGGCCTCCTACTATAGTGTGTGTGTGTGTGTGTGTGTGTGCGCGTCTGTGTGAGAGAGAATGACACCTCAACAAGTGAGGCTCATGAATTATTAATTAGCGATGCGGCAGGGACTCATGAGACATGAATATTCAAAAGGACACTTATGAATATTTAAATATGATGGGAAGAACGAGCGAGCTCGTAGACAGGCGGCAGACAAATACACCCCGCCTCATCGTCCACATCCATTCTAATGAGCATGATGTCATTGCTACGACATTATCACGATGAGATCATCACGTTTACTTTGTAAACAACGACAAAAAAAACTAACTAACCGTTGTGTATTAAAACTAAAATAAAGCAAAGCGAATCGTGTCTTTGATCACGCACTTTTGGCCGATACTGAGCGGCCCAAAAACACATTTGAGAATTTTCGTCTGCTTGCTATCGACTGAAAATGACATCACAGTGCCGAAGCGCTCAGTTTGCGAATGTCACATGACCAAACCCAGACAACAGGTGCGGCGTAATTGGTCGGTACCTGAGTGATGTCATTTTCAGTCGACAGCAAGAGTCAAAATGGCCGCCACCCGCAGATGGAAAAAAAATGCTGCTTAATTCATGTTCCACAAGTCAATCAAAATACTATGTTCAGACAACCATTTAATCGGTGGAGAAATGTATAAATGGCAAAAAAAATTGCAGCATCTTCAGCATTCACACAATAACTTTTGATTCATTATCCTGGTGACAAGTGGCGTCATTGAGTGAGCATTTCATTTTCGGATCCTGTGTCCTGACCGTCAACAGAATGCGTGCACCAAGCCCCGAGACTAGTGCGCAAGTGGTAATTTTAGCCGGTGTGCGTCAGTGCGGTCCGAACGTTACAAAACCAACGAGCGCCAACATGAGTGGGCGTCCTCAACTTTTTACCTTTTCTGATCAATGAGCACCTGACTCACTGAGAGGAGAAGCATTCCGAGGGAGGAGCTCGCTGGACGCGGAAGGAGAAAGGACTCGGTCAGCCGCCCACGACAGACGGCTCCACGAGGAGAGAGAGAGAGAAAGAAAGAGAGAGCGAGCGAGAGTGTGAGAGAGGAATGCTGCACAGGAAGTGCACCTGTTCAGCGGGCGAGGAGATCGCGTCGTCTTGCGGTCTCTCGATGGTGGGTCGGACCGCAGGTTGCTGAGCTTGCTCGCGCACGCTTCAGCAACCATTTTCAGCCCAAAAAATGTCTGTGAAAAGAGAAAGAAAAGGAAATATAAATCGTTTAAAAAAAAAGTAAAATAAAATTGCAATGCAGTAATGCAAAATAAGTAGAAATAATTTTTTTAATTGAAAAAAAGGCCAAATAAGTAAAATACAATCTAATATATCTAAAATGAAATATAGAGCAAAAATAAAATATAGTGAGATCAAAGACATCAAATTAAACGAAATTTAATTAAAGCATAATCCAGTAAAATGTGAACTATTCAGCTAAGCCACAAGGATGTAAATTCCAGGAACGACAGCAGTTGTTCTTCATCATGTCACAATAATAAATTCAAACGTGTCACTGCACGCTGGCTGATTACTTTTTAAAAAAAAACTTTTATTGTCGAGGGGCAAAAAGTGACTCGTTACAACAGGTGAGGCGTCGACCTTCATCGAGACGGATTGTCTTCGTTAAGCGCGGAATCGATGACTTCATCTTCAAAGATACTTCCTGCTCCTCCCTGACCTGCTGGCCCCTTCGCTTCACTCCTTTTTTTTTTTTTCCTTCTCCTCTTCGCTTCGCTTCTCCCGTTCCCGATCCTTTTCTTCTTTCTCCTCCGCCACGGGCATCGCACGACGGCCTTTAGCTGCGTGGCGTGGCTATTTATATTTGTTGCTAATGAGGCGAGATCTCAGCGGCTACCATGGCAACCGTCTCCGTGGAGACCGTGCTCTTGGATACATCATCTCCCGTCCCACTTTAAAACGTCCTTCCCTTGCCAACGCCAGACTAATTAACGCTCGGTTATCGCCGCGCGCGCACCTCGCCCTCAACAACATTTTCAACAAATGAAACGCAGCAGATTGTACCACAAGGTGGAAGCGCACCAAACTTTGTGGCGAAAAAAAATTACCGTGATTTTTTTTTTTTTTTTTTGGGTGGGCACTGCTGTCGGTGTAGCTCTCAATTGTGCAAGCGCGCACACACACGCATGGGTGAGCGCACCTCTTTCCCTCCTCTCTTGTGGAATGTAGATGAGGATGATGGGCGCACCTCCACGAGCACCTTGGTAGGCAGGCAAAGTCAGCTGCTGAGAACTTGACGCACGTCATTGCTGCCACCTGTTCGGCGGGAACAAATGCCACTGAAACGCACACTCAAGATCTCCCACGCGGAAATACGCGCGCACACACACACACACACACAGACTTCTTCACACTAATCCATATAGACAGACGCGCACCCACACTTTCTTAATACTCAACATTCACTCTCTCGTGCGTTCCCGCGCACACAAACAGGCACGCGTGCTCTCACACATACGCTGACACGACATATACACACACGCACATTCTAATCTCTCTCTTACACGCACATTGACTCTCATTCATTGCACACAGACATACAGAGACACACAGACGTTCTCACGCTCACACAAATACCCGCGCATGCGCACACTTTCCACTTTCCTCTCTCACACAAACATTCACTCTCTTAGACTACTGCACAGATACTCACACATCAACACAAACAGACAAACACACCCAGAGAAACATTCTCTCTCTCTCTCTCACTCACACATTCTAAAATATCTCTGCACCCACAAAAACACTCTCAGACTCAAACTTTCTCTCACACACAAATAGGCAAACAGACACACACTTTTACTCTCACACACACTCAACACACATGAGAGAGAATTGCAGATACAATCTTGCACTCTCTCTCACAGGCTCTCTCTCTCTCTCACACACACACACACACACACACACACACACACACACACACACACACACACACACACACACACACACACACTCAAACGCATGGTGTCTCTCACACACACACATTCAATCTTCTTCCTGCTCCACAAACACACTTGCCCAAGATAGCATTTATAAAGAGTGATTTAACCTTCTTAGCCCCTTAGCTATGTGAGATGTGCCATACAACTCCTCTAAGACAAGTAGAACCCCCTTCCCACAACCTTAATGTCACCTCATCCCCCACCCGGGCTCAAACCAACCCCCCACCTCATCTCGTCATGCGTGAGTCATCAGAGGGTGAGAGGTCTGAGGCAAACAAGCTGCCACAGTCGGACATGCCATAACAATGCAGCACCTGTCAGGACCTCTAAAGAAAGAAGTTTGGTGTGTGTGTGTGTGTGTGTGTGTGTGTGTGTACGTTCCTGTGCTCACAGCTGTCACCCGCAAGGGAACATTTCTGTCAAAATCTCAAAGGGAATATAAAGATGCCACCAGTGTGTGCGTGTGCATGTGTGTGCACAAAAAGTTGCCAAATTGATTGGTTGTCTTACTTCGTGGCAGGAAGTGCCTCGGAACAAGCTAACAATACAGTTTGGAGTTTTGATGCACAAAATATTTTTTATTCCTAGAGGATAGAAAATAATTTAAAAAAATATGGGAGGAATGTGGAAGCACAAAATCCGAGAGAGGTGGAGGTGCGCTCATCTAATTATTATTCGAAGAAGGAGGGGGCGTACCGGTGTGGTTACACAACTGGGTGCCACCTCAAAGCACATTCCCAAAAAAGGTTGGTGTGGGCTCATCCCAATCAT